GGCATCCAGAGTGTTGGGGTGCTGCTGGGGGCAACGTGGGGGACATCCAGGAACCCAGGGGGACACAGAGGACACCCAGGGACTGGGGTAATGCCTGGGGGGGGGGCACGGGGACACTCGGTGTGGGCAGAAGCTGCCTCCAGCTGCAGGTGGGGAATCGCTTCAGTCCCATCTCAGCTTTCTCCGAGGTCTCCCATCCCCTCTCTCCTGTCAGGGGTCCTTCTGAACCCCCCCTCTCCCTCCCTTGAGCCCCCTGTCCCCATGCCCCTCGCCCTGACCCCCTCCTCTCCCCCGCAGGCCGTGGGCTGAAGTCTCACGCCTACATCCACAGCGTCCAGTTCAGCCACCACGTCTTTCTCAACCTCCACACTCTCAAGTTTTACTGCCTCCCTGACAACTACGAGATCATCGACTCCTCGCTGGAGGACATCACGGTGTGGCGGGGGGGGGCCCAGCCATCCTGGGGGTGTTCAGCTTTGGGGGGGGGTGTGTGTGTGTCGTCCCCCACGCTTTTGTGACACCGTTTCTCTCCCGCAGTACGTGCTGAAGCCCACCTTCACCGCGCAGCAGATCACCAACCTGGACAAGCAGGCCAAGCTCTCCCGTGCCTACGATGGCACCACGTACCTGCCCGGCATCGTGGGGCTCAACAACATCAAAGCCAACGACTATGCCAACGCCGTCCTCCAGGTATCACCAGGGGCTTCATTTTGGGGGGTGAAACCCCCCCCTGCAAATCCTCCCCTGGGGCTGGTGGGGATGTTTCCTGTCTCCTCTCCTGCAGGCTTTATCCAACGTCCCGCCGTTGAGGAATTATTTTTTGGAGGAGGACAACTACAAGAGCATCCAGCGCCCGCCGGGGGACATCATGTTCCTGCTGGTGCAGCGCTTCGGGGAGCTGATGCGGAAGCTCTGGAACCCCCGGAACTTCAAAGCGCACGTCTCACCCCACGAGATGCTGCAGGCAGTGGTCCTCTGCAGCAAGAAGAACTTCCAGATCACCAAGCAAGGTGAGGAGCAGGGGGTGTGGGGGGTGTGGGGTGGTGATGGAGCGCTGGATCCATGCTGATTGACTCTGGTTTGTAGGGGACGGGGTGGACTTCCTCTCCTGGTTCCTGAACGCGCTGCACTCAGCGCTGGGCGGTACCAAGAAGAAGAAAAAGAGTGAGTGGAGGGTGACGAAGGCCCTTGGGACACCCACTTGAGTGATGTTTGTCATCCTCGATACACACCTTCCCCCCTCCAAAATGTCTTTCTGTCCTTGCAGCCATTGTCACCGACGTCTTCCAGGGCTCCATGCGCATCTTCACCAAAAAGCTCCCTCACCCAGATCTGGTGAGTATGTGGAGGGGTGAAGGAGGGGTTTTCTGAGGCCCATGGGGGTCTACAAGCCCCCCCTACACTGAGCCCCGTGTCCCGCAGCCGGCTGAGGAGAAGGCGCAGCTCCTGCAGAACAGCGAGTACCAGGAGATGATGGTGGAATCCACCTTCATGTACCTCACGTTGGACCTTCCCACCGCCCCGCTCTACAAGGACGAGAAGGAGCAGCTCATCATCCCCCAGGTCCCCCTCTTCAGCATCTTGGCCAAATTCAACGGTGCCACCGAGAAGGAGTACAAAACCTACAAGGAGAACTTCCTCAAGCGCTTTCAGCTCACCAAGCTGCCTCCCTACCTCATCTTCTGCATCAAGCGCTTCACCAAGAACAACTTCTTTGTGGAGAAGAACCCCACCATCGTCAACTTCCCCATCACGTGAGTGGTGAAAACCCCCGGGTGGGTGCTTGGGTCCCTGTCTGCCTTTCCCTGTGCTCTGGTGGGGGCTTGGAAGCATCTGGGGAGGCTTGCAGGCATCTAGGAGGGACTTGGAGGCTTCTAGGAGGGGTTTGAAGGCATCTAGGGGGCGACTGAAAGCATCTAAGGGGAGATAATGATAATCTCAGAGGGGTTTGGAAGCATCTAGAGGGGTGTGTGTGAAGGCATCTAGGAGGGGCTTGGAAGTATCTAGGAGGAGTCTGAAAGCATCTGGAGGGGAGAGATAATCTCAGAGGGGCTTGGAAGCTCCTGGGGGGAAGCTGTGGGTGGTGATGGGGTTCCTCTGGGGTTTGGGTGCCGTGGCACCCCGCTGAGGGGTGTGGGGTGCTGCGGGGGTGCCCCCAGGAATGTGGACCTGCGGGAGTACCTGTCGGAGGAGGTGCAGGCCGCGCACACCAACACCACCTACGACCTCATCGCCAACATCGTGCACGACGGGAAACCCTCCGAGGGCTCTTACCGCATCCACGTGCTGCACCACGTGAGTGTCCTTCATCCCTGGGGGGGGTATCCCCAAATTCTTATTTAAATTACATAGATTTCCTCTTTGGATTATGGCCTCAGAGCTATGCCTCCCTCTTACAGGGAACTGACTCTAATTGTTTAAAATTCTCTCCCAGAATTAACCTCCCAAGACGCTTTTAGGCAAGAGATTTGTTCAGCAGTGCATTGACCGGTAACTTTGCATCAAGGAAACTTCCATTTGTAAACAAGTGTTCTGTAACATCTAAGCTTATGCCTTCGGAATGAGCACTACAGTCAAACTTATGTACCTGCAAATCCACTATCAGAATAATATACTGAAAAGGAACACTATAAAAATAGCCCTCTAAATAAGGGTCAAAATTTCAAAATGTCACGCACCCCCCAACACCCCCAGAAACTGAGGACACTGTGGCAGGGTGCTCCAAGCTTTATTTGGGGGTGAGGGGGGCTCCGTGTGCCCCCCCACTATGCCCAGACGTGCTCCTGGCAGTGCTGCAGGGCCTGGAGGAGAGCAGAGGGGGGTGAGTTAGGGGTACCCCCCTTGTCCCCTTTGTGTGTCCCCCCCCAGCCTTGTCCCCAGCTCACCTGGCAGCGGCGGGCGGCCTCGGGGCTGGAGCACCAGTAGGACGGACCCAGGGCACAGGGTCCCAGGTTTGGGGACAGCATGGGGGGGGAATGGCCTGGCCCTAGGTCCTGGCAGGGTTGAGGACACAGGTGTCAAGAAGGTGTGTCCCCCACCCAGGGTGGGGACACCCTCAGGAACCCCCTCCCCCAGGGCTGTGATGTCCTCGGTGCATCCCTTGGGGCTGTGGTGCTCTCTGTGCCCCCTCCTTTGGGGGGTTCTGTACCTGGTGGCACCCCTGAGTGTGTCCCCTGGGGGCTGGGACACCCTTGGGGACCCTGGCATGTTCTCTGGGGGCCTCACTGTGTCCCCAGGGGTCATGGCACCCTCTCAGGGATGTGGCACCCCTGGGCACCTTCCCTGGGGGCTGTGACACCCTTTGGGTCCCTGGCAGGTCCCCTGGAGGCTGTGACACCCTTTGGGTCCCTGGCAGGTCCCCTGGAGGCTGTGACACCCTTTGGGTCCCTGGCAGGTCCCCTGGAGGCTGTGACACCCTTTGGGTCCCTGGCAGGTCCCCTGGAGGCTGTGACACCCTTTGGGTCCCTGGCAGGTCCCCTGGAGGCTGTGACACCCTTTGGGTCCCTGGCAGGTCCCCTGGAGGCTGTGACACCCTTTGGGTCCCTGGCAGGTCCCCTGGAGGCTGTGACACCCTTTGGGTCCCTGGCAGGTCCCCTGGAGGCTGTGACACCCTTTGGGTCCCTGGCAGGTCCCCTGGAGGCTGTGACACCCTTTGGGTCCCTGGCAGGTCCCCTGGAGGCTGTGACACCCTTTGGGTCCCTGGCAGGTCCCCTGGAGGCTGTGACACCCTTTGGGTCCCTGGCAGGTCCCCTGGAGGCTGTGACACCCTTTGGGTCCCTGGCAGGTCCCCTGGAGGCTGTGACACCCTTTGGGTCCCTGGCAGGTCCCCTGGAGGCTGTGACACCCTTTGGGTCCCTGGCAGGTCCCCTGGAGGCTGTGACACCCTTTGGGTCCCTGGCAGGTCCCCTGGAGGCTGTGACACCCTTTGGGTCCCCGGCATGTCCCCTGGGGGCTGTGACACCTTTCAAGCACGACCCTCGGGGCTGTGACACACTTGGGTGCCCTGTCACATCCCTGGGGACTGTGACACCCCCCAAGGCATGTCCCCAAAAGCTCACCCTGCAG